TTATGGCAAAGGTTCTCACACTCTTTATGCCACAAGCTTCAATGAAAGACCTGCATATCAAAGACGCTATCACTTTCTTACCAACCAACCAACCACAATCTCTGTATTTTACTGCCGTGTATAAATATAAGCCATGTTAAATCTCCTTCTGTTATGTCTGCTGAAGTTGACTTGTCCACAAAAGCTCACATTACAAAAATATGAAAGTTAGTCTTTAAGGTGCCACCATGTTTTGTCTTTTTTTACTTTTTGTTTCTATTTTGCTTTAAAATATTTTCATAACTCTCAAGATGTTTGTTATATTTCAGTTTGCTTCTTGACTATTCGTCCACAGAATAAATGAGAAATCACTTGTGAAACCAGAGCTTCATATAAATAGTTATTGATATGACACATTGCTATCAGGTATTTTTTTAAAAAAAACATATGGGATTGCCTAAAGTTACCTATATGGATCCAGTTCGTAATCTGTTAGCACAATAATGCTAAATACAGTCTTATCAGAAATCTATTTACTCCCATCCCACACCAACATAATATATAAAAATATGTATAACTGATCATGGCAGTTCGCTCATGCACATTTAAAGTATAATGGAATATATCAGTAATTTAACCACTCAGTTTAACCACTGAGCCTCATGGCGCAGTGGTTAAACTGCTGTACTGCAGCTAAAACTGTGCTCACGACCTGAGATTCAATCCCAGGTAGCCGGCTCAAGGTTAACTCAGCCTTCTATCCTTCCAAGGTCAGTAAAATGAGTACCTAGCCCTCTGGAAGGGAGGCAATGTGTAGCCTGCATAACTAACTTGTAAACCACCCAGAGAGTGCTTGAAGCACTATGGGGCGGTATATAAGCAGCATGCTTTGCTTTGCTTTAATTTGCTAAGAATGCTCTGATGCATGCATAGAAGAACCCTCCTGCCTGTCTGGGTGTAGCAAAACATTTTAGTTCCACAAGAGCATTTCCTCTGTGGCCATTGAATTACCCTATTAATTAAAATGAATTCACATGTAACTATAGACTATGTGTATGTAGTTCTAGATGATTACTATGGTGCCTTGACTTACAACCATAATCTGTTCCAGAAGATGGTTGTAACTCGAAATGGTCATAAGTCGAAGCATCATTTCCCATAGGAATGCCTTTTAATCCCATTAATCCGTTCTGGCAGGAAAAAAAATAATCACCTCCCCCCCCAAAAGAAAACCACACACACAGAAAAACACCCACTCCAAGCCCCATCGGAAGGTGATGGTGCTGGGGGGGGGGAAAATCAAACACATACACCAAAGCCAGTTCCATCTGAATGCGATGGGGCTGGGGAAAAAATTCAACCCCCCCCCCCCCAGCTCCAGCGGAATGCGATGGGGCGGCGAAAAAAAACACACACACCAAAAAACAAACAAAAAATCACAGCACAGAAACATAACCCCCAAACCCAAACCCTCCCTGCAAAACCCTGTAAATGTACTCCCCAGAAGCAGAAAGCCGCACCAAGCAGCCGAAGCCTCTTTGCAAATGCGCACACACTAACCGTTGGGGCAAAAGAGCTACAAAGAAGCTCTCCCCCAACCAATGCTTAGCCCTCTAATTTGAATTCCCAGCTTTTCCATGCCTCTTTTGTTTGCAAATCAAAGCTCCGGCCGCAAGTCAAAACAAAAATTTGCAGCCTGAGGTGGTTGCTACTTGAAATGGTTGTATGTCGGGATGTTCGTAAGTCGAGGCACCACTGTACTTTTGTTCTTTGTTTTTATACTCTTTGATCATTTTCCAATTTGTAAACTCATAGACTTTTTAAACAGTTTAATCATCTCAAGATCTTATCTTGTAACTTGTTTTTATCAAGTAGCCTTCATGCATGGTTTTTCCCTTTGATGTTTTTAATTTTATAAAACTATCTTCAGATGAAGAGCTGCATAAAAATAAATAAAATAACGCAAATGATGATAGTTTTCAGTCCAAATTGGACTGTCTTTGGATGGGTATTAGTAGTTGGGTCAGGTGAAAAACTGCTTGTATAGATGCAACTTAATTTTTGAATACCAATATCCTTTTTAGGATCTCTAGTTTGAAGCAAGAAAGTAGCCTTTTCTGGTTTACATATGCAGTAGGACTCCCCTATCTGTGGGATCAGTATCTGCTGATTCACTTATCCACTGGCTAAAAACACAAAGTACAGTGGTGCCTCGCTTAACGAGTGCACCGCAGAATGACGAAATCGCATAGCGATTAGGTTTTAGCAATCGCAAATGCGATTGCATACCGATGGCCCCTATGGGCAAAAATCGCTTTACGAAGATCGGTAAGCGTTACATTTACCGATCTTCGCAAAGCGATGCCGCGGATCAGCTGTTTGGCGGCTCCAAAATGGCCGCCGGAAGCCCCGAAATGGCCGCACACAGCGTTTTCGCGCCCTCTCCTCGCTTACCGAGGGCGCAAAAATGGCTGCCGCAATGGAGCAACCTCGCTGAACAGTGAGATTTGCAGCCTATTGGAACGCATTAAACTAAGACATTTACCGATCTTCGCAAAGCGATGCCGCGGATCAGCTGTTTGGCGGCTCCAAAATGGCCGCCGGAAGCCCCGAAATGGCCGCACACAGCGTTTTCGCGCCCTCTCCTCGCTTACCGAGGGCGCAAAAATGGCTGCCGCAATGGAGCAACCTCGCTGAACAGTGAGATTTGCAGCCTATTGGAACGCATTAAACTAAGTTTAATGCATTCCAATGGGCTTTTACGTTCCGTACAGCGATGTTTCACCATAGCGAAGGTTAATCCGGAACGGATTAACCTCGCTATGCGAGGCACCACTGTATGTATTTTCAGGCTGTATTTACCAGAATTGGCCACTAGAGGGAGGCAGAGACCTGATACTTGCACATTTCTCAGCATCCACCAAGGGCTGGGGTCTTGGAACTCATCCCTTGAGGATACTGTAGTCCTGTTATATCAACTTCAGTGCTAATGCAGTTTGTCTGAATCCAGAGCAGCATGGATCATTTGTGAACATGCTTTTCTGATTATTCATCTGAAAATCTAGATGCCATAGTTCAGGTTGGTGTCTGACTCTGCCATTTATTTCCTGGTAAGGGAATATTAGATATTTAATATCATTTTTATTCCACTTCTAAGTCAGGTTGGAAGCATTTTTGAAGTGGGTGGTTGTTCATGATTTTTTCCCCGTTCTCTCAGTCAAAGACAGGCCTTTGATGGACAAGGAGAAAATGTGCTGAAATATATACAAGGCTGTTTTGAAAGTAAGTATTCTGTTTTGTGAATAGTTAACAAAGCATGTACAATATGTGAGGGATACGGTGCCCACAGGTTGTAACAGTTAATGATAGCTAATATTATCTTTTAATAACCATCCATAAATCCAGTCTTATCAAAATACTAGTGAAAACATGAAAGTGATTTCTAAAACATGTGGTCCTTCAGACTCTTAGCTTTTCCCCAGTTCTGCCTCTAGCGCCTATTTCTGTACTACCTTCACTGTTTCCAGTTGTTACTGGGTGAACATCAATGGGCTGTGAAATCACCTCCTATAGTACTGACAAGTGCCTAATAGTTCGCCTTCTGTATTACAACTCTGCATAAAATCTGATAGAATGCTCCATGCTGCAGGACACCTTGTTCCTGAAGTATTAAACATATTGGGCAAAATCCAGTTCCGTAAAGTTATGTCACTGTAAACTGGTTATGGCTCTGGGAATAATTAGTTAGAACTAATTGAAAACTTCCTATTCCCCCCACCCTGTTCCTGGGGAAGCCTTTGTGAGCCTCAGAATAAGGGGAATGCCTTTAATGCTCAAAAATCGTTGCTGGATTTCCACATATTTCACACTTCTCCCTGGTCCTGAGGCTCCCAGAAGGGAGTCCTAGGGAGCCTTGTAACCTGAAATGTGGGATGATATGAAGCTTTCAATTAGTTCAAGTTATCCAGTTTAGGCAGCCTAACTTTATGCCGACAGGATTTTGCCCATTGGCTAGCATCCTGTTACTGATCTATGCTTCCATAAGGGAAATCACATATGTTTTGGTGGCAAAGTATTGTTTGTGAACCAAGTGCTTGTTGCACATGTTCCAAGTTGTGGATTCATGTGCAAGAACCCAACCAGTGCCTCATAAATGAATGGCAGTTTGTTGCTAAAATACAATTTCCCTTACACAAACATAAATTAGCAACAGGATTGTGGCCATTGACTTGAAATATGTTCTCACTGCAGCCATGTAATCCAAGTGCAGTTGTGAATCACTTAAAGGATCGTCTTAGCTTAAAATATTTAAGTCCTATCTATATGAGGGAGTAAAGCAATGTATATTTTCAGACATGCCCTCTTAACAGTATGCACTTTCTTTTTTAGCTTGTGCCAAGGAATTTAAAATACACTCTCCTGTCATTTTAAGTGAGTCATCTTCTAGTTCAAACCAGGACCAAGACCAGATTCTATCTCAAAGCAAAGATGTGAGTTGTTTGTTTGGGAAACACATACTTGTCTCTTCACACACTATATTTACCACATAAATTTTTATATGTACATCATGAAATTTAACTTACAGCATTGTCTTTGGTCAGAAGATAATTTCCTTTACGAAGTGATAACTTATTTAATTGATGGATGGATTGATTGATATACTGGACCATCTGGCAGCCAAGGCCACTCTGGGCGGTTTATAACAAAAAACAACAGAGTAACAAAATAGCAACATTAATACATTGGTGTGAAATTTTTTAAAAAAACTAACCTTTTTACTGTTTGTTGCTATTCAAGATGTTACGGTCAGCGACTTAAAAAAAAACCAGAAAAAAAGTGGAGGAGAAAACATTTTAAGAAAAAAAAAGTAACAAAGTAGCAACATTAATACATTGGGGTGAAAATTTTAAAAAAACTAACCTTTTTACTGTTGCTATTCAAGATGTTACGGTCAGCAACTTAGAAAAACAACCCAGAAAAAAAGTGGAGGAGAAAACATTTTTTCCCCTGAAGATTCCCTCATCCCCATTTTTTTCCCAGAGGAAAAATTGGAAACTTTGAAAGATGTAGGAAAAAGTCAGCTAAAATGTTTTCTATTTTAAAATGAGTGAAATGTTTTTGAGATGTAATTTACTCAGAATGCCAGTAATAGTATAGTATGAAGTTTTGTATGAGAGGCAATCTATAGAATTACAATGCAATAAGAGGAAGATCAAATATGAAATGGACTCACTCCCTACAAGAGATCCTGAAAATTTAACTTACAGCATTGTCTTTGGTCAGAAGATAATTTCCTTTACAAAGTGATAACATTTAATTGATGGATTGATTGATTGATATACTGGACCATCTGTCAGCCAAGGCCACTCTGGGCGGTTTATAACAAAAAACAACAGAGTAACAAAATAGCAACATTAATACATTGGTGTGAAATTTTTTAAAAAAACTAACCTTTTTACTGTTTGTTGCTATTCAAGATGTTACGGTCAGCGACTTAAAAAAAAACCAGAAAAAAAGTGGAGGAGAAAACATTTTTCCTCCTGAAGATTCCCTCATCCCCATTTTTTTCCCAGAGGAAAAATTGGAAACTTTGAAAGATGTAGGAAAAAGTCAGCTAAAATGTTTTCTATTTTAAAATGAGTGAAATGTTTTTTGAGATGTAATTTACTCAGAATGCCAGTAATAGTATAGCATGAAGTTTTGTATGAGAGGCAATCTATAGAATTACAGTGCAATAAGAGGAAGATCAAATATGAAATGGACTCACTCCCTACAAGAGATCCTGAACCTGAGTCTGAAAGAGCTGAGTAGTGTGCCTGAGGACAAGGCATTTTGAAGAGCTTTCTTTCATAGAGTCAACATGAGTCAGAAGCCATTTGATGGCACTTACCAACAACAATTACTAAGCATATTTGAAACATACTGTATGCTCAAAGCCAAAATACATTTCTTGGCTCTTTGTGAGAGACCAATCATACAGTGGAGTGGAGCAGGTTTTTTTTTACTGCGTGTGGATTCTTAGTGGTGACTTTTGTTCTAATTTTGTGGGTCTTTTTCTGAAGAAAAGACTTTGTTCATTACAAAATTAGTAGTTTTGTTTTAATTTTCTCCTGTACTTCTTAGATGGTAGCAGCTAAGATACATGTGCTGAAGTAGCATCTGATGCAGCAGTTTGCAACTTTTTCTTCTCTATAGGTATAGAGAAATACTCAGAAAAGTATATGGGTATACTCAGATTTTTGCTTATATGAAACAAAGGCTTTTACATGTTTAGATCTCACAAATATGTTTTATATGTTTAGATCTCAAAAAATAGTTTTATGTGCTGAGTTATGAATGAAGCATTTCATGTTACTAAACCAGTAAAAATATTTGATACAAATATCAGTATTGTGTATGTTTTGATTTGTCCTAAACTTATGTTTACCCTGAGGGGAAGAACAAAAACAACTAATTGTTCTACACGTTCATAATATCTGAAAATTCTACACCTCTGATTGTTATTATGTTCCTAATTTAAAGAGAAAAATTCTTTTTGAAATGCTGTTGCTTTTACATATTTTATTTAGCTCCTTAGTATTGTTTTATTTCTTCCATTGGGATTACTGCTCCTATGGAAAAGAAATTATGTCCAGAAGGCTTAGGCAGTTGTTATATTGAAAGAAAGCACAGCCACTCTCTTTCTCTGCTGAATTTGTGACATCTTGAATATGAGATTGCACTGATAGGATTATGTGTGAACTACAGATGCCTTATCATTGTGCAAATAAGTCAACCTAAACTGATGAAAGACAGTCCATGTAACAGGCTACATGGACTTCACTGGCTTTGAACCTGATTTGTTAGGGAAGGGTGAACAACTTTGGCCCTCCATATGTTTTTTGATATACTGTACGATTCCTATCAGGCAGCATAGACAATGGTGAGGGATCATGGGGCATGTAATCCAAAGACCCCTGGAGATCTATGAACAACTTTGGCCCTCCATATGTTTTTTGATATACTGTACGATTCCTATCAGGCAGCATAGACAATGGTGAGGGATCATGGGGCATGTAATCCAAAGACCCCTGGAGATCTACACCCCTGCTTTATAAGTGCATCTAGAGCAGGCTGATCCCTGTATCTTTGAGCAAAAAAATTATGCACACAAACTGTCACGGTTCCCTATTCGAGCCCCCCTCCTTACAGCCCCTCAGCCACACTACTCTTGGCATCCTGGAGTGGGACTGTCCAGGGAGAGTCAGATGTGGTGGAGACTGTGGAAGTTTGACTGGAACTGTCACATTTCCTCAATGCCTGTTTAGTTGCCCAGACTTTGAGGTGCTCTAGGAAGTTATAATCCAAAAAAGGAAATTCCCAAGGCTAGGCACTGAGAACAAGAATACTAATCTTGCAAACTAGGTGCCATCACTCCTACACACAAACAAAACTCAAAAAACCCAGTAGCTGGAGAAGGTTAGAACTGGTTTTACTAGGCACTGAGAACAAGAATGCTAACCTTGCAAACTAGGTGCCATCACTCATACACACAAACAAAACACAAAAATTGCAGTAGCTGGAGAAGGTTAGAACTGGTTTTAGTATCACTAACACTCACAGTCAGAAATCCAAGCAGCCACTTGAAAAGATTTTTGTAGTTTAGTGAAAAGAAAAAGGAGAAAGGGTAAAAGTTCAAAACAACTGCAAGAAACGATTCTCAAAATACAGTCCATTTCCATACTGACCTCTGCCTCTCAAGTCAGCTTCCTACGCTCATAGAAGCATAGAAGAGTCCAGCAACTGAATTTCATATATCACATACTCGTAGATCTTAATTTCTTCACACAAACAAGTTAACACTGGTGTTGACAACGTGTACATTTTTAGCTGTATCAGGATTGTCCCCATATGAGAACTATAACGTATGAGGCAGTCCTTAGTGTACGGCACCCAATTGATTGACGTGGGAAGATCTCTGAAACTTAGTTCTTTTTACTATATTGTGTTTCTTGGTTGTTATTAACTCTACCTCTTTCCATTTCTGCTCTGCCTGGTGATTGTCAGAAAGAACAGCCAGAGTGTGATAAGATTAAACATGTGGAAGATGTGAACAGTGCCTTTAATACCTTCACTGCTTTACCATCACAAGACAGAGAAGACACATGTTCAGGTGGGTGATATTAGTTGAACGGCTAGACAAATGGATGTAGATCTTAAAGTTAATGTTATGAGTGCTTTCTCCAGGTACAAAAGAGAACAGAAGCAACCAACATGAATTTGACCCAACTCTGGGAGGCAGTGAAAGACAGGAGGGCCTGGCATGCTCTGGTCCATGGGGTCACGAAGAGTCGGACACGACTTAACGACTAAACAACAACAACAGGGAGTAAAGTGATTTCTTGGACATGTTCTGGACTTCTTTTCCAGATACTGATACCTTAAAACTAGAGGCAGCATTCATGTCTTCCGCACATCACTGGAAGATCAGACAAAAATTCTGTTGGTTTCTTTGTGGCATATGTGGTCCCCAACCTTGGGCCTCCAGTTGTTGTTCTGTTGGTTTCTTTGTGGCATAATGAGAAAGAAACAGGAAACCTATTCTTTAAGTTAGTGTCCTGTTCGTAAAAGTAGCTATTATGATGCAACATGCCCCCGTTTTAACCTAGGAATTCATATTAGATCAAATGGAGGCCCAAGGTTGAGGACCACTGGCATATTCAATGAGAAAGAAACAGGAAACGTATTCTTTAAGTTATTGTCCTGTTCGTAAAAGTACAGTAGCTATTATGATGCAACATGCCCCCCTTTTAACCTAGGAATTCATATTAGATCAAAATACTCACTGCAGAATATTGAGACCAGCTGTCCCCCTCATCTTTTGACTTTTCAGAGCAGCTAGCAGCCCTCTAATCCATTATCTTCCTGGCCTCAGTTACCATGCAAGGTTGCACCATCCACTACTCAAAATAATACTACAGTATTATTTAAACTGATGCAACAGCAGTGACTTCTAGCTACTTTTGGCAGAACAAATGGAAGCATGGGAGCTTCTTGCAGTGGGGGACAGACATGCCAGTCTGGCTCAGATAGCCTTAAAAGATGATAGATTTTGATCAAGTGAAAAAAGTTCAGTCAATATTAACAACACTGTTGTTTAAGCTATGTTTAAATCTTCTCTCTGCTCTCTAGATGACGATATTGATATGATATCCTTAGGATCACCTGCTCTTCTGATGGAAGGGAAGTTGTGTGAAGGAATGTAAGTTACTTCAGAATTGAAAATTGTATAGCTGTATTTCTCTTTCTGCATAATTTAAAAATGCTACGGAGTATGTAGTTAACCGCATCTTATATTGTATCTGATGAATTAGTGCAACCTGTGTAAAAAAATCACCAGATAAAACTTGTTAGTCTTTAAAATATTAAAGGACTCTTTTGCTGCCTCTGCCGCAATAGCTTAACTTACTTTGTTTTCTGAAGTAATAGATGATAGGATTGTTTAGTCAATGCTTTGTTAGCAGTCCAATGGATGGATTTTGCCTTTTTATGCCACACGACGTTTACGGCTCCCTAATAGCTTCTGAAGTTCAACAAAACAGTCTTTTTCTGGCATTTAACAGGATGGTTTTTAGAGATGTATTTTCTCCAAACTATATTGAATCCATAGGAAAGTACTATCTTTTTATGCATGTGGGTTTTGGATGTTATTTTTAAATGGAATTTTGGGGGAAGTTGAAATATATCATTCTTAATTTCTTTTCAGATCTTAATGTACATTAAGACTTTGAGGACACAAAATTACAAATGCAGGATCCACTTATTTCAGTGGCTCCACTCAAAGTATGACTAAGTCTAGATCAAAGTCATTATGTACTTTGTGTAGTACATAAAGACTGAAGTCCAGTACTAACTTACCACTACAGTATGGCCATTGAATAATTGGAATTTACAGAGGAGTAGACTCACCAAATCAATGGACCTATGCTAGTTGCAATATATTACTGGATTTCAGCCAGAGTTTTATTGTTTAGCATATATATGAAATTTAATTCAACAGCTGTCTGATTCTAACAATAATTGCAAATGCACCCAGAATTACAGATGTAGCAACATGCTTCGTTTAACAGTTAAAAACTAAACAATTTTAAAAATGGAAGAGGGCGGGTAAAGAATCAAAACTAGAACCAGACAACATTGTAATAAAGATTTTATTATTAGTGATCTGGGCATAAAACAATCTCCCTTCAACATTTTTCAAAAATAGACAAAATGATACAAGCACCCAAACTACAATATATTTTGTGTATATATATCAATATAGATATTCCAAATGAAGATAAAATTTTATGCATCTGATAAATTGGGCTATAGGCCTTGAAAGCATATCCCACAAGAATTATGGTAGTTTGAAGGTGCCATATGCATTTGATGTTTATCAGAGGCTATAGAAGGATTGAGTATAGAAGAACATGAATATTCTCCCTTTTGGAGAGAAAGGCGGGATAGAAATATTTGAAAGAATTACAAATAACTGAGGACAAGGGAGAGTAGTCTGAGTCCTAAGTACCAAATCAGTTTTCCTCTCCATAGTGCACGAGAAAATACTCTTTTCACAGAAGGCAAGATGGTGATGGATGCCATACGCAAAGATAAAATCTAGGCAAAATGCATTACTTACCAATATCTAAAAACTCAAACAAAAATACTAGGAAGAGCATACACCACATTAAATCGAAGAACCCCCAAATCCCAGACAAGTCATAATAGTAATATAATAATATAACTTTTTTGAACTGTTACCGTCTGGCAGAAGATATAGAACAATTAAGACTCGGACCACACGTTTTCTGAATAGTTTTTATCCCAGAGCTGTAATTGCAATTAATAATGAGCTTGAAGACCACCAGTAGTGAATAATTAGTTGGACTGTGTTACTTGGTCGGTGACAGAGTTTTCTAATTATGGAGTACTCAGAAGTGGTTTACTGTTCCCTTCTTCTGCTGGCACCCTGGGACTGTGCAAATTGCCCAAGGCATTATTAATTGTATGCCGTCAAAGTTTTGTTTATGGTGACAGAGTTTTCTAGTTATGGAGTGCTCAGAAGTGGTTTACCATTCCTTCTTCTGCTGACACCCTGGGACTGTGCAAATTGCCCAAGGCCACACAGGCAGAAAAGTCATGCACATGCACAAAAGGTACACCAGGCCTCCAAGGCGTTCTGCTACCCCTTCTAATCTTCCAGAATTCTTCCCAACCCAGGCAGGTCTTCTAAAATGCACCTTTAGAAAGATTACCTTTTCCTCTTTTTTTCAGTGTTCTGTACTGAAGAATGCTTCTGGAACACATGGTGCTAAAGGCATTTTGGGAGAAGATGATAGAGTAAGAGGCTGGAACATCGCTATTAGCCTTTTTAGTTTAAAAATGCATTTTTAAAAGATATAGATTTAAATCCATGATAGATTAGAAGTTTTGGAGCTACCAAGGGATGTACTACACCCAACTGTAGAGTCTTACATGATGACAGCATTTTTAGAGAGTGGAGGGTAACTATTTTCTTTAAAGAGAGGTGTCTTTAAAGGATGTTCATCTAAGCAAAAATAAGTCATAAGCTATTCATTCCTCCTTACCATTCCTTTCTTTCGGGGGGGGGGCATCCTGGGACGATTCAATTTGCCCAAGTCTGGGAAGACTGGCTCTACTCACAAGAAACAGTGAGGAATTAAGTTCCCAACCTCTACCTCTGCAGCCAGCTCCCTAAACCACTGAGCTGTTCAGCCAAGGTTGCAATCAGAAGAAGGGAATGATAAACCACTTCATACTCTCTATCTAGAAAACCCTGAAAAGGATTGCTGTAAGTCAGAATTGACTTGATAAAACATTATCATCATTACATTCAGCATATGAGAACTTGTCATATTTAAGTGCCTTTGTAGACTCCTGTTTTTACTAGTCTTTAAATTTCTGACCTACTTATCTGAGACATTCTAGAGCAGGCTTGCCCAACGCACACCCCCCGGGCCGCATGCAGCCCAGGTCACCTTGTAATGCAGCCCAGCGCCTCCCCTGAATCTCTCCTCTGCCCCCCTCGCTCACCCGTCTTTCCTGTCTGTCGCGAGTGTGTGTGTGTGAGAGAGAGCTTGTGCGCCGGCTAGCTGGCAGGCTAACTCGAGCTGATGAGGAAGAGGGTGGAGGCGCGCGAGGAGACAGAGACTGCCTCACCCCTTCCTTCAGTTGGTTGCAGCCATTGATGGGGCGGCTACCTCCTTCCTTGCATCGCTTTACCTGCCTGCGAGTCGCTGCCTCTGCCGCCACTTTTCTAGGCAGTTAGGGACTTAATTCTTCATATTTCTCGCCACCACCCCACTTGCTTGGGAATTATTTTCTCCCTTGCTTTTTTCTGAACCCGCGCAGATACCCCTCGTTCCTCACTTTGGCCGCCATGAACCCCAGTTGCGCCCAACCGAAAAGGTGAATTAAGTTAAGGGAAGAAGGCGGGCAAGGGCCAGAAGCATTTGAGGCTGCGAGGGAGTATAACTGGGGAGGGAGGAGGTCAAGAAGGCGAGAAAGTGGGAAGGGTGCATGGAAAGTAAAGAGGCGGTTTTCGGGGCTGAAGAGGGGGAGAGGAGGAGCAGGGGGATGCATGATGGGGGTGGTGGATGAAGCGGGAAGCTGATCGCCAGGGGCAAAACAAGGGAGTGGTGTTGTGGTCGTGGTAATGGTAGACAGGGGGAGGTGGATGCAGGAATAAGGGTTAGTAGGTATGTGGGTTAGTAGGCAAAGGCGGCAGCAGGGGAGGGAGGCGGACAGATGGATGAGTTGTAGGAGGAATGCAGGCCCCCAAATAGAGGACTTGCTGGAAGGAAAGTCCAAGATGTCTGTGGGGAGGAAGGAAAGTGTGTAGAAGGCACAAAGGGGAGAAAGGGGGAGGCGTTGGAGAGTGATTGGGAAGGATCAGGGAATGGAATGGGAGGTAAGGCGCAGAGCACCTACATTTGTGAGCAGCTATTTTCAAGGATGAAGCACACAAAGAATAAAACTAGAACCAAAATATCTGATGAGCACCTTGAGCACTCACTGAGAATTGCCACAAGTTCCAAGTATGGATGCATTGGTGGTTGAGAAACAATGTCAAACATCTCACTAACTTCATTTCCAAATAAATTTAATATGTTAACTATGTTTTCTATGGTTGTTTTTGGATGATCAGGTATTGTTACTTTTATTTTATTTTATGTGCGGCGCAAACCAAATTTTCATCTAATGTGGGCCAGTGAAGGTGAAAGGTTGGACACCCCTGTTCTAGAGCCTTATTCAGGCATTATAGTTTAAAAGCAGATAGGGCCCTACCTCAAGCACAGAGACATAGGGTACACATTAGATACCTAAACGTCAATTTAAAAAATGCACCATTATGCAAATTTGACAGAATGTGCTCACTTCATTTCTTTGATTAGAAGCCTTCATAAGACAGGAAATGTCCCTGGGAAAATACTGCAAGTACATTGAACCAACTATATTTAGAAGTTCGTTCACTACTGAACACAAACGGGTTTAATGCGTTCCTATTGGGGTGAAAACTCACCGCTATGCGGGGAATCCTCGATCCGGCTGCCATTTTCGCTGCCCGGTAAGCGAGGGCAGGGCGCGAAAACACTGCGGGCGGCCATTTTGCGGTTGCGGCGGCCATTTTGTTTAAAAAACATCGCAATGTGAAGATCGGTAAGCAATCCAATGTTTTCCCTATTAAAACATCGCAATGCAATCACAAAAAACGCGTTGCTATGTGAATTCATAGTTAAACGGTGCACTCGCTAAGCAAGGCACCACTATATAAAGATGGCTTACAAAAAATAAATTTAACCAATAAGTTTTCAGTAAAAATGAATAACATGAACTTCATTGAAAGGAGGGCAAGAGAGATTAAGTTTGATCTACAATTAAGAAAATTACGGAGGCATGTTTCTATGGGGAAGGTTCCAGGATAAGTTTTAAATTTTGATAATTATAAGTAGCTTAATTTTTGTCACCCTTCTGCCCCTGCATGTAGAGTTCAGTCTGAAGATGAGGTATGTGAAATGGATTTGAAGAACAGCATAGATGCTGGAGAATCTGAGAGGTATCATTCAACTAAAGAAGTAAAGGAAGTTTCTGTTGAAGAAGCAGAATGTTCAGTTACATCTTCGAGTAAAAAAGAGATATCCGAGTCTCTGGTATCAGTGGAAGCTATAATGTCTTCTTTTACAGAACGGTAAGCAGCTGGAAGTCAGGGCTTTATGCTGATCATATTGGAGTGAACTTGTGTGGGCTAGTTAGGGTCATGTGGGATGAGGTGGAGGTGTGGTATGACATTTACTGTAGTTTGATCCCTGCATTAAAATGGCTTATTGGAATGTGGACAACCCTATTTGGTCTGGGTTCTTCCGTTTTGAACTTCCGATATTGTGAAGTAGCTTAATAATCAAGACACTTCAAGAAATTGAATACTCCCTCTGTTCCCCAGCAGAGGAGCAGGGGAAGAAATATATATTTAAAACTCTAATAAACCATCACCAATGCAATCAAGACACTTCAAGAAATTGAATAATCCCTCTGCTCCCCAGCAGAGGAGCAGGGGGAGAAATATATTTTTAAAACTCTAATAAACCATCACCAATGCACTGTATCCTTACATTAAAATAATTGATTTTTTTTCTTTGCCTTGTCTGAAGGGCTGTTAGAGAATCTACCTGCACTTTCTGAATTGTCCTTTAAGCAAACAAAAAAAAATCTTTTCTTACTAGAAATACAGCTAAGAAATCCAACAACTTATCTTTTCTTACTAGAAATGCATCTAATGTAGAGCCAGAAGATGAATGTGATTTTTTAATAGAGGAATCGTTTGGAATGCCTTCCACTTCTTGGATTTCATCATCTAAAAAAAGCCCCAAACCAAGGAAGGACAGCTCAAAAACTGTAACATCTCAACAAAAAAAGGGAACCAGACAGCATGGTGTGAAAAGTAAAAGTAAAAGGGAATCACAGAAACCTATTACACCAACCCCAATAAACCAAACTGAGATTAAGTCAACTAATGTTTCAGAAAGAACTGCTGATGGATTGCAGAATGTGTCGGGGACTAATGAAACAATGTCCACAGTAGGTGAGAAATCACAGTTGTGGAGACAGCAAGAACTTTCCAAAGATGATACATCAGTTGAAATAAATAACAGGGACTCTCAAGTTGGAAGCCTGACAGAAGACCATGCATCTTTGAAACAGAACAATAGTTTTTTGCAACCTATTATAAGTGCAAGTTGTTCATCTATCAGGAAAAGAACTGTGAAACAAACAAATTCAAAAGCAAAACCATCAGTAAAAATGCAGACCAAAGAGCACCAAGAATGTGGAACTGCAATCTTGGTCTCAGAGGACAGTCAGACGTCTCACGATGCAAACATGCACTCTAAGGACACAATTTCTACCTTGAAACCTATATGTTCAGTAGGATCAAAAGCACAACAGACAGCCAGAACCCCTGCCAAATTGTTTGGAAAGGAAAATTCTCAAATACTTACATCATCTGAAAAACCATTGCAGACTCGGAGAAATAATGTTAAAGGATCCATTGTTAAAATCACTAGAAGGAAGAACAGGATCCTGGATTCGGAAGAGAGCTTTCAAAGTGAGCATGGAGATGAACAGTGTAATGAAGAGGATGAAAACCATCCTCTTAATGAAATACAACAAATAAATCGTTCAGGAAAGAATCCACATCAAAAAAGAAGGAAGGCTTTTTTAGTCACTCCTGGAAGCGACAATTGTGGAGGTGCATCTGATCAAGAGGATTCTTCTGAATATGATCTGACAGAGAAGGAATTAAATGCTTCTATGAAACAGCAAAACAGCAACACACATTCGTTGTAAGTTTTTTCATTCTTTTAAATTTGTATTAATTTGGCTAGTTCAGTAATAGTTTATTCCTCATTCTTATTGCTGGAAATAGTGTTCATCTTCAGCGTAGGTTTGGTTTTCATTGGGTGTGGATATTAATCCATTACAGACAAATAATGAGTTCTAAACCAAAGGATGTTGATTTGGAGGTGTCTGGATCTCTTCAAAAGTAGTAATCCAAAAATCTTCAGGCTGTTTTGGTGTTTTGACAGCTGCCTCCAATACACAGACCTTCAGAATGGGTTGCAGCAGATGTCATTCCAAGGCTCTTTGGTAGGGATGGGCTTCCCCATATCTGAAAATCACTGGAGGAGTGGAACGGTCCCTCTGTCAAAGTCCCTTTTGCCACAGTTTTCCCATAATGCTCAGAGGAGAAACTTACAAAGCTTCAGATTTTCTGAGTGGGCTTCTGCTCTATACCTGATACACAGCGGGTCATAACCAAAGTGGTCCAAGCCAAAATAAGCCACTGCTGGAAGAACCAACAACAACAACAACAAAAAACAGTTTGAGTGTATTGTGTTTAGTTTCTTTTAGTAGAAACTAAAAGACGAAGGCACATTGTGTGCTCTTCTTATCTAAGAAACTGTAGGACTCCCAGTTATTTGACTTCTCCTTGCAACTGTGAAATTAATATCTCCACAATTCCTGAGTCTCAGACTGATTATATTTTTAAATATTTTGCTTTTCTCCTCTGTTTGTACTGTTTTCCTAGGACATTCCAGCTAATTACCACCAATACCTATTTTCTCTGCTAATTTCTTATGCCTTTCTTTTTAGTGGGCTTCTGGATAACAGACTGGGTCTCAACAAGTTCTCCACCATTTCCCATTTTATCTGGAATGCGTGAATGTATGCTTTTCTAGGGCTCTTGCAGATCATATCTGAGAGGAAAACACATAGAACAAAGGGACAAGAATAGTAGTATTCAGGATGGGAGAGGAACAAATAGGTCTCTGCCATCTTGTAGACTAATCTTTATAAAGACCACACAACATTATATTGCCTTAAATGTATGTGTTTTTTGCAGGGCTATGAGGCTTTGTTGTTGAGATATATGAGAACAGGAACTACACAAGAATTTCTTGTTGCCATATTTTAACTGTAGAGCATGACTTGAATGTGTAGGTTCTCTACAGCTGTATATTAGTTGGCTATGTCTACATCCAGGTGAGCTGGAACCTGTGTAGGACCACTAATTGGATAAACAGCCAAGGTAGCCTTTAGGTTTTGTCCCAAATTGTGTGATGAATAACTTTTGTAGTTGCTTAAATGTTAATTTCTGAATCCTAAAACCAAGTATTTACTATTACTGGTAAGTGTCATTAAGCTTAGATATCCTGTTTCCCTGAAAATAAGACCTGACCTGAAAATAATGCCTAGTATGATTTTTCAGGATGCTCATAATAGAACCTCTATTCCAAAAATAAACCCCAGTTAAGTGAAACCCTGCCCTCCGCCATTGTGCAGCAACCAGAAAAAGAGGACATGACTGTATTTGAATTAACGTAGATTGTTGTACATGAAAAATAAAATAAAACATCCCCTTAAAATAAGCCCAAATGCCTTTTTGGAGCAAAAATTAACATAAGACCCTGTCTTATTTTCGGGTGGAAATGGTAGAAACTTTTCAACAGCTGGTTCTGTGAAGTCCTGGGTAAGTTGCATGCAGTGGTTATGTGGGATATCTACTTTCAGAAAGCTTCTTAACAATTTGTTTTATTTTAGGTATTCTTGTGCACCAGATGTAAATATGAACAATATCAGGTAATTTCCCTTATTATTTATATCAGAATTTTTCTCTAAATTGTTTCAACATTGATACTCAGAATTCTCTATGTCTTGGGAAAATTTTATGTTGTTCTCTTCTTTTCTTTTGCATATGGCTTTCTCGAAATGTTTGTGGCAGACTTTAATTTTTTTCTTTGCCATTTTTGCTAAGGTTAAGGTATAATATTCCTTTTGAAAAATATGACTGCACTTGGGATTGAACCCCAGGTCATGAGCACAGTTTTGGCTGCAGGACAACGGTTTATTGATTTATAATGATAATCATTTCAATATTGTTCAGAGCTTTCTCTTTAATGTCTCTACCTCATCTAAACATGGCCCATTCCCTTTTTAGTGGCCCAGTTAGTAGTACTGAAATAACTTCTGACCATGACAGATCATCTAATCGGAAGGATTTAAGTTCAGGTAAGGCTTAATGCCGATTTTCTCCGTTCTGTCTTTTTTGTACTAAGTATCATGGTATATATTTATCAGAGAGATAGTTGTGCTACTCTTATACAACAAAAACAAAAGTATTGTGTTGCGTTCAAGATTAACAAACGTGTTTCAGTGTGAGGTTTTGTGGCTTACAAATCATTGTCTCTGACACAGGGAAAGTGCCTGTAGAAGTGTCTTTCAAACTGTGAAAACTAACACTGAAACATATACAGAAGTAGATAGATAGAAATAAGCTATTATTGTTTGTGGTTTTTTGTACTTTAAGCTTGTACAGTGGTGCCTCAACTTACGAAATTAATCCATATTGTAATGGCATTCGTAAGTCAAAGTGTTTGTAAGTCGAAGCACCATTTCCCATAGGAATGCATTGAAAGCCGATTAATCCGTTCTGGCCAAAGGAAAAAAAATCACCAAAAAATTAAAAAGAACCGGTTGGAAGGCGCTGGGGCTTTAGGAAAAAAAAAGAACTCCAAAAACAAACAGTAAAGCCATCTCCGTTGCTGAGGCTTTAAGGGGAAAAACTCCAAAAATAAATAGTAAAGCCACCAAGAACACAGCACAGGAATATACCCGCCCCAGCCAAAACCCACCCAGAACAGTTTTTAAAAAGGAGAAAACAGCAGATTACCTCCCTGCAGACACACACACGTTCACTCCGAAGCAGAAGGAGGCAGCCCCAAGCCTCCGACAACAACGACATACTCTTGAACTGCCGAAAGTGAAAGAGCTACAGTACAAAAAAGCAGCCTCGTCACCACCTACAGTTAGATATTTGAATTGCCCACCTTTTTCTCCTGCCTTTTTCCATTTGTAAGTCAAAGCTCCTTTCGCAAGTCAAAGCAAAATTTTGCGAACAGGACTGTTCGTAAGTAAAAATGTTCATAAGTACAGACGTTTGTAAGTCGAGGCACCACTGTATATATAGTTTCATTTGGCAAGCAAAAATGCAAGTTCCTAGGCACTTCTACAGAAGCAACTCCCCTTCCAGACCCATGCCTGAAGAAGCGATGGTATTCTCATAGCCTAACATTATGCTTGCTCTCTTGTAGCTTCCATTATGTTTTTAAGTGAAAAGTATGTTATTTACAGCTTTTATAGTAATTAGCTTCTCTTCAGCTAAATGCATGCCCAATCCTGGCTCTCTGGCTGGGATGGAGATGTCAGAGTACTAAAAAACTGTATTTTTTAAAAATAAAAAATGTCCTTGCTGCTCTTTAAAAAAATACTGCTTCTCCTATTACTATTGCTGCTGCTACCACTCCTTACCATTATTATTATTTATCCTCCAAAATATAACAATAGCACATTAGCACATTATTATTATATATGGCAATACTTGTTGTGGAAATATTATTTCCATACAATTGTTATCTTACTTATTCAGGCAAAAGTTACTCTTTTAGTATTTTGGAGAATTTACAAATGGATACAAATACTTTTCAAAGTTCATTTGTATTTCAAGCATTTGAAAATAGATTTAACAGTTTATTAACAGACAAACATATATAAAATTGAAGCATAATCATGGCAAGACACAGGTGCTCCTGGTTGGATTAGTGAATAAGCACCCATCTTGTGTTAGATAGGGTTACATTTTCCCTTCAAACTGAGGTTCACACCTTGGGCATAGTCCTGGATTCATCCCTGAACCTTGGTATCCCAGTTTTGTGGTAGTTAAGAGTGCATTTGCAAAATTAAAGCTCATGCACCAGCTGTGTCCATTCCTAGAGATGTTTGACTTGGCTGCAGTGACACAGGACTTAATCATATCTCATTTGGATTACTATAACACATTCTAGATGTGGCTGCCTTTGAAAAATGGTTTCAGACCTTGACTGTGGATCTTGACTGCTGCCACTGATGTTCTCAACAACACTGTACAGTAATATTGGGCAATTTCCTGGCTTTTCGAATTGTGGGTAAGAGAGCACAATATTCCACATTCGTAAACTTGATGTTTTTGGAAGACTTGAATTAATATAGGGCATGAAGATCCAAAGTATAGAAAACATTGATCAAAATCCTTAGTTGATGTCCCCTGGCATAATGGAATTGGTTTAAATCTCATTATGGAATTGTTGCAAGTTAATGAATTAGAGGATGTATTTGCTGTTGTGCACAACAGCTTCTTAATCTTAGCAATTCACTAGCAAAATTTATGCCAATTGCATTCATGTAAAAATGGCAGTATTCTGCTAATTGTGGCAATAGAAACATGTAAATGTTGTCTTTTCAGGACTTGAGTTTTAGGATTCTTTTACCTGGGATACACTTCAGTTTGTTGCATTTCATTTATACATGAATCTATCCAGCTACACACTGAACCAGGCAGAAGAGTTGCTTCTTTCACAGTCCCTCTGTCCTGTCAAGCCCATACCAAGGAGGCAGTGTTGGATGGATTTATGATGTTGTTGAATAAGTTCATTCATATTTTTAATGAGTTTGTAATGTTTGATATAAATGGAATCTAGTAATAATTCACCTAGATGAAATACTTCTAAAGTACTGAATCTGGAAGTTCCTAAGATCTCTTTCTTTTTTAAAAGGTGAATCTGGAGACCTGGTGGAAGATACGGATGAATTGGTATCAAATTCACTAAAGCACAAACTGGGTAAGATTATTTCCCTGCTTAAAAGGGAAGTGAACTTTATAAAAAACAATACAATCCCCAATTAGCACTTTCTTCCTATGGTCTGTTTACAAGATGAAAATTAGGGAGATGGTATAAATAGATCAATAGTTTACATCACATTTTTCCCAGTCCAACAACAATAATAGTAACAGCAACAATAATTGATGTCCAACAACAATAATAGCAGCAGTAGCAACAAAATTATGCATGCATAGCTGTGGGAGGGGGCAGGTTGTCTTCCTGGAGGTTACTACTTGCTTAGTGGTAGTGGTAACAGTTACACATATAGTGAGATCCTGCTTTACTACATTGGCAGGAGTTTCTGCTCAGCAAGAGGTAACAAGAAGCTGGTCCAAATGTATTGGCCTCACAGGAATGCCCCATAGATATCATAGGTCCAGAATGTCCTCCATTCTCTTGTGTTCTTTCTGTTCAGCTCCTTCTGGACTTGTTTTACTCAGATACAGTTTTATTTCTTGTTTGCCAGTGTTGCCTACCCATACGCCCAATGTCCGTCGAACCAAAAGGATGCGTATGAAACCACTGGAGTATTGGCGAGGAGAACGTGTGAATTACAAGACAAGACCCTCAGGTCTTAATTTTTATACAAAGCAAAATACTTTGTACAGCAAATGCCATAATGCCTACATTTTGTTGTTGTTTAGTTCTTAAGTTGTCTCTGACTCTTCGTGACCCCATGGACCAGAGCATGCCAGGCCCTCCTGTGTTCCACTGCCTCCTGGAGTTGGGTCAAATTCATGTTGGTAGCTTTGGTGACACTGTCCAACCACACCTACATTTGACTGGAATGTTTTAAAATTGTCTTATATTGATATAAAGTTGATAAAGTGTAACAATATATTTTAACACTATGTATTTTTTTACCACCAGATGGGGCATACTGCTATTATTACTTGGGCACTGTATTGTTATCTAATTTATGTGGGGCTGTTTGCATTGGTCAGGCACTGTGAGCATGGCCATATACCTTTCCTGTGTGCTGCTACTCATTGAGCAACTGCATCATGTTAAGATGGCTGGCAGCCCACATGCCTTTGCAACTTGTTTGCAGCATGTTCCAATAATGGCAGAGGGACTCCATCTCCCTTGACTGACTGTCAGTGATGGAAGCTAAATTATCTCTAGAAAACCACCCCACATTGTATACTGTCTGCTAAATTTTTGTTCCTCTGTTTAATAAGTGTGCCCATGAATTTGTGAAATAGATACAGCATTGAGTAGAGGTATTTGGAAGGAAAATGTGCTAACTGCCGTACATTCTGAGGGGAGATTATTTTCAAGGGTATATATAGATTGATAAGAACTGAACTGCTGTAGTTTACACTGTCACCTCACTTGTTCATGTGGCTTTGATTTACACAAAGTAATTTTAAATCATTATTATGTAAAAATAATTCCTTACTACTATGTTTGTTTCAGGAGGCTTTGTGGTTGGTGGCATAATATCACCTGAACAGAAAGAACTCAGAAAACCTAAACCTAGAAAAACAAAAAAGCCTGTTGAGGAGCTTGGTATGTCTATCAGAATTGCAGAGAACTGGAATACTTAAGGATTACTTGGAATCATATATTCATCATGAGCAGGGAGACCTTACTCACCGTTGTGCAAGTGTACCCCTTTCTTTATAGGCTTCAGAATACTGACCTAGAAGGAGGTCCCTTATTGCTGAGGGAAATCTGCTGTTAGAGGTGGTATTCAAGAGACTGGCAGATAGGTTTAAATGATGACCTGCATGGAATCAGTCCTACTCAAAACCCACATGCCAGCATTGGTGTTGGTATTGTCTGAAAAGACTGGATAGTCAAAAATCCTGACATTGATGGCAGGTCTTTATATAGAAGTGGGACTGCTTGGGAAGCATCTGTACTACACACAGTAGGTTGCTTGAACTTGTATTAAGCTTAGGTTGGGGAGAAGTAGTTCTGCATTTTGTAGCAAAACCCAACTACTGTATGCATGGTGGTAATTGGTTATTGCCCAAGATGTCATCAAGCAATCTCAGCTTGGAAGCTATTTTGCAACTATTTTAGTTGCATTTTCATTTTCCCCAATGGCTGGCCTATGTTTGACTTGACTGAATATCTGTTTGCTGCACAGACTGAAATACGTAGTTCTTTTAAATACACAGACTTACTTTAGCAGATGAAGAATCCACTGTAATTACTGTAAATATTTATTAAATAATTACACTAATAAAGAATTCTCAGGAGATTGGCTTCTTGTCTTGCCTTTTATATTGTCAAGACCACACTATGGTCTGGAATTCCATTCTCTGAACTTCTGTTTTGCAGAGGACATGCTGGGTGACTCAGTGGTTTCCTTAAAAGATCCATCTCAACCAGTGGTTGTGTTTGATGCAGAATCTAATCAAGAGATTCTTCTAGGTGAGTGCTGTGAGTGGACACACACTTAAATATTTCTACAGCAAGGACAGAATAATCTAATTCTATCCTGATCTTGGATTTTTAAAGGAAACATGGTGACCATTTCAATCTTTTTCTTCCCCCTAGACATCCAAATCATACCATACTTCGACTTCTTGTATTTCAGCTTTTGAATACTCTGCTTTTTGTATTTTACCTCCAGAATATATTTGTTTCTATGAAATGCATTCTGATAGTTTGCACTGCCTATAACACAGTTTTTCAGTATACAGTGGTGCCCCGCTAGACGATTACCTCACAAAACAATGAATCCGCATGACATGAGTTTTTGCGATCGCTCTAGCGCTTTGCAAAACAGTGTTTCCTATGGGCGATTTTCGCTATACAATGTTTTGGTTGGTGCTTCGCAAGACTTTTTTTTCCCCCCGGGACTGATTTTCGCAAGAAGATTATTTTGACAGGTCTGCGACTCACAAAATGGGTGTTTTCGAGACCAATTTTCGCAAGACAGCAATTTTAACAGCTGATCGGCGCTCCGCAAAACGGTTTCTCTATGGGCGATTTTTGCAAAACGACAACGATTTGTCCCCATTGAAACGCATTAAATGGATTTCAATGCATTCCAATGGGGAACTGCATTTCGCAAGACAATGTTTTCACAAGACAGCGATTTTCGCTGAATGAATTAACATTGTCTTGCAGGGCACCACTGTACTGTAGAATCTCATAGGATTATCTTGCAATAATCTGGTTCTTGCATATAAATAAAACTGGCAAAAACATATATATCTGACATTATTATCTAATTTTTCTGACATTGTAACAGAATGTGTGAGAAGTGGTAGTTCACACTTGGTTTCCATCTTTAATGAATCAGTATCCATATATAAATATCTGACGACACCCTGGTTTTCTGCTGGCAAAATGATATTGAAACCATTAAAAGAAAAAGGATATCAATATTCCCACACAGATACACTGGTGAGTATATAAGCTATCACATACTTTTTTTAATGAGAAGTTATTTTGTGTTTGCAGGTTCTTTCTATTTATATTTAGATTAATATATAGCAAAGTGTGCTGCTTATATATTGCCCTGTGGTGCTTAAAGCATTCTCTGGGCAGTTTACAATTTAGTTATGCAGGTTACAAATTGCAAGCTTGACTACTTTTCACAATTTACTGACCACTGAAGGATGGATGGCTGAGTGAACCTTGAGCCAGCTACCTGCGATAGAACTCGGGTTGTGAGCAGAGTTTTGGCTGCAATACTACAGTTTAACCACTGTGACACAAGATTCCTGAACATATGACCAAACCTATTAATATACTTTCTCCCCCCCCACCTTAGTTGTTAAAGTATATGAGCTAAGTATTGCCGTGATTAAGTATCTCAAGACTGTGATACAGTAAATCAGAATTCCATAGGAATCCCAATTTATTAGGGATGAGCAGGGTGATGGTGCATGATCTCTGACAACTGCTGTGTGTAGTGAATGGAGCTTTTAAAAAATACCATTCTGTCTGTGGTTTTTCTTGTGTCCATCCAATTATCCCTCCTCCACTTTCACCAGTCACACTATATTTGCTTGGCTGCTGCTAGCAGGGATTTTGAATGTACAGTGGTGCCTCACACAACAATGTTAATTGGTTCCAAAAAAATCAACGTTGTGTGAAACATCGTTCTGTGAAACACCATTTCCCAAAGGAATGCATTGAAAACCGGTTAATCCGTTCCAATTGGAACGGATTGCCGTCTTTAAGTGAAAAAACCCATAGGAAACATCGTTGAGTGAAACAATGTTTCCTCCATTGGAATGTATTGAAGCTGACTCAATACATTTCAGTGGCTTTGCGAAGTCCTTTTTCGCTCCTGTAAAAGTGCCTTACAATGTTTGGAACAGGTTTTAAATGCTTGCAATCGTTAGCCCACCTCCTGAACCCTATGCAAACTTAATTTGGTGTTGTTCTGAGTCGTCTTTAATTTTTGGTGATTTTTTTAATTTTCTCTCATTGGAATGCATTGGACGGAAAGTTCAATGCATTCCAATGAGAGAAAATTCAAAAAACTGTCCATTCAATTGATTTAAATGGGGAAAATTAAAAAATCACCAAAAATTAATGAAGACTCAGAACAAAACCAAATTAAGTTTGCACATGTTTCACAAGGTGCACTATGGAATCCAAGCATTTAAAACAGGTTTCAAACATTTTAAGACACTTATAAATGAGCAAAAAGGGACATCGTTAAGTGAAATTCCCCCATAGAGAACATCGTTAAACGATGGGGGAAATTCCTCAAAAAAACCCATCGCTGTGTGAATTCATCGTTGTATGAAGCAATCGTTGTGCGAGGCACCACTGTAGTCACATCCTATTCTAGATTTTTAGATGCTACTTTGGAGAACAGAGGAGGAGAGTTGTGCCTCCTGTTTTCTGGTGACAGTCCCAACATCAGCCATTATCACGTTCTAACTTGCAGAGGAGGATAATTGGATGGACACAGTTTTATCTGTTTAAACCTTGATGATACTACTTGAGATAAATTAAGATAGGCTTGACCACTCTTGTCAGGTCCTACCCTAGCAGCTTGTTGGGCATGTGGGCATGTGGTGATTTAGAAGGAAAATGCAATTAATCATATCTAGGAATACAAGATATGTCCTTCAGGGAAAACCACAGGAACATCAAATGTTTCATGGTTTTGTTTCTGCAAGCCAGGCATGTATCTTCGTGTTTATCCAGGCATCATTCATCCTCTGTTGATGCTCTCTACTGATAGACTTTTTTTTTTTACTTTTGAGAATTAATCTACTTCGTTCCTGCATAATCTGAGTATGGTAACATCAGAACTATATACAGTGGTACCTCGCTTAGCGATGTTAATTCGTTCCGAAAAAATTGCTGCTAAGCGAAACTTGGTTTCCCATTGAAATGCATTGAAAACCGGATAATCCGTTCCAATAGGAACAAATTGCCATCCTTAAGCGAAAATCACCATAGGAAACATCGCTAATTGAAACGCGGTTCCCCAATTGAAATGCATTGAAACCTATTCAATGCATCTCAATGGGGGGAAAAATACAACAACAAATTAAAAAAGAGTCAGAACAAAGTCAAATTCGGTTAACAAAGGGTTTATTAAGTGCAGTTTATGATTTCAAACAGTTTAAACAGTAAACTTTAACTTTATAAATAACAGGAAAACATTTAAAAAACAGCAAACATGAGGCTGTTTAAACCATTGTTAAGCGAAACAGGGGACCCAAAATTTGATCGCTATGCGAAACATGGTCCCAACCATTGCTAAGCAAAATCGCCCATAGGGACCATCGCTAAATGAAGCGCAAAAACGCTCTGAAAAAGTCATTGCTAAACGGAGCGCCCGTTAAGCGAGAGCAAAATACACTGTGAAAGGTTACATGTACATTTTTAGTTTCAGAAGTCTCTGCTCCCTCTGGAAAGGACTCCAGATAGCTCTGGATAGAACATTCTAGTGTTCCACCAACCTGTGTGTTATACTAGTTAACCTATTTGCTAATATTCACTAGTGTTTTTTTCTTTGTTTTGTTTTTTGTGTTTTGTTAAATCTTTGTGGTTTCTTGATTTGATAGTGTCACTTGGGCTTCTAACTATAGAAGAAGGTGAGCCTTTTCAGTATTTTCAGCCTGTTTATGTGCATGGGTTTTCAGGTTCAAAATAAATATAAGCCCTGTTCAGACATTCAGAAAATAACTAGTTTGAATACATGAGCTTGGAGAAAATTCTACTCCCAAAGCCTTGCCTATCATCCTTTCTTTAGGAAGAGAGACTGTCTGAAGAAGAAAATCTTTATTATCCAAAGCCTCTCCATGTATTTTGAGATATTGAAAAATCAGGGCTCCTGGTCATATGGAAAGTGTCTATAGCAAACTGTCTCTTTTCTCCAGGCTGCACTTCTTCATGTGGAGACAGTGATGGGTGGTGGGATGGACTGCTCACATGTTCAATTTAATCCTTTTCTGAATTCCTGAATAGGGTGATTGTCACTGTATTGTCAGCAGCCAGCTTGTGCATTTGAAATAATAATGCTCATGGCTTTGTTTTCTGAAGGTATTTCATGTTACACAAGGCAAACTCCTTCTGACTATGTATGACCAAAATTACTGTCTAACCACTGGAGACTATTTCTTCATTCCACCAGGTAAGTGTACTAATATCTACTAAATGAACACTTTAAAAACCAGGAAGATCTGAAGTAAAGATGAAGCTAGAAAGACAAGTGTACGCAACTTTGGAAGATAATTTTATTCAGCAGTGTTGCAAGTGTGTGTCATGCATAGCTACATAACCAAGGGCTATTTCCTGTGTTCCATAGTGTAAGAAGGAGGGAGAGAGAGAAACCCCTCTCTCGGGAGTGCCGTCCCTCCTGCCAACCGCTGAGAAAGAGAGCCAGACCCCACCAGTTCCCCCCCCCCGGAAGACGAGACCTCCTGAACCTGACCCGGGGAATTTGGCGGGAAATTTGAAGGGACTTATGATTGCAGAACCCGGGACTACTTTGGCGGGCACGGGAGAAAAAAGGTGGGAGATAGTGGAGGCAGGATTGGGGGATATAACGAAGGGGGAAAGAGAGTTGCCAGTAGGCTGGGAGTGGATCTGGGTTGAAGATCCATGGACGGGAAAGACGGAGGAATTGCGGGTCCCCAAGGAAGAAGCAGACGCATGTAGGCGGCGTGAGTTAAGCCCCAGGGGAGAACTAGAAACTAAGGAGTGGAGGAGGAAGCTGAGAGAGGAAAGAGAGAGAGTTGAAAGAGAATGAAGGGAAAAGCTAGAATAGAGGATTTAGGAGAATCAACAAAGGGAAATCCTGGAGTCCCGTGGGAGATGGGGGGTCCCCTCCAGGGAGTGTGACTGGGTGGACGATCAAGAGGAAGACACAATCCCCCTCCTGGAAGGAAAGGAGGGAATATTACTGAATGCTAACACCCCGCCGGAGTGGCCCGGGCCCTGGCATAGCCAGGGTAAGAACCCTTTCAAAATAGAAGGTTGGAACCCCCCTTCAGACCCGTTGTCAAAAGGGGAGAACGTTTCGAATGCTTTTGTTGACACTGGACTGTAGTTGAATACCCCAATAAATGTTACCCCCATTTCTAAACCGAGGAGAGCGGGTGCGTTTATTGATAAAGTGTTGGAGCAAAATACGGAACCCTCACACATAGAAGAAGCATTTAGTGGGTAAGAGAACACTCCAGAATGCCCAGTGATATGATGCTGCGACTTGCCGGAGACGATTGGCAAAAACAGAACAAAGCCTATGTGCAGATTATAGTGCCCTTTGTTTGCGCTAATACTCTTTCTGGTCAAATTGTTGGTAGTGACGTACAAAGCCCCAAATAGTTTAGGATGTGGATATTTGAAGGAGTGCCTCTCCCATTATATACCTACCTGATCACTATGAACTGGTGGTGAAGCCCTCCTCCTTGTCCTGCCATTGAGAACTGGCCATTGTGCAGAGACATGAGGGAGGGCTTTCCTGGCTATAGCAGTCTGACTGAGGAATAGCTTCCCCTCAGAGGCTCAGCTGTTGTCAACACTGGCAGCATTTTAATACTTCTCCCCACATTGTCAGTCTTACCTGGTCCCTGGTATGCTGTAGAAAAAAGAGTGCCAGTTGGCCACATAAGAAGAGAAGGATCTCCCTCCACTGGCCTGACTGTAACTAAACAGTAACAAACTCATTTCTAAAATTAGAAGAGTTGATTGTTCTATAATAAAACTATTGTTCTTTTCATTGCAGGAAATGTATACAATGTACGCAATCTCTTGAATAAAGAATGTGTCATCCTCTTCACACAAGTGAAAGGAACCAGGTAAGAAGAATGCTGGGTAACATTCGGGCTTAGCCAGGGGAGGCCCATTGAAATCAATGACTTTATTCTAATTCTGGATCCAAGTCAATTTTCGTTTGTCAGTTTTTCCACTTTTTCTGCACCACCTCTTTCACCCAAATTTTCAAAGTGGGGCCTACCAATTGTAAATGCCTTTATTTCATGTTTCCCCCCTTATTTCTCTCTTGTTTTTAACATTCTGTTTTTCTTCCCCCTTATCCCTCTTGCACAAGGTAAATGGGAAAAATTCCCTGTGTTCTAAGATACTTTGGAATCTACAATCCACAACTTTTTTATTCTTGCCCTTGAGTAGTATAGCATAATACTTCTAAGCTGGAAGAAGAACTTGTCTGAATGTGCTGGAAATGTTATAAAGATTCACCAGCAGGTGGCGCTACAGGCCAGAGAACTTGAAATAAAGTTCATTTAGCGAGGGGATCAAACTGACAAAAGCATGGGCCCTTAAAAATAATTTTAAATTCTTGTTTGGGATTTATATACCCTCTTCTTTGTAAGTATACTTATTGGGGCCGAACAAAGGATGGAATTAATGAATGAAATTATAGGATAGAAGCCTGAGTTTCAGGCAAGCCTTGTACTTCAGAAACACTGTCTGTGCCTTTTCCTTGCTTTGTCATCTGGGAAGGGTGGACTACAGAGCAATTAGTCTTCTCCAAGCCCTAGTGATTTACTTTTGAACTTAGATGAACAATTAAGCACCCTGTTCATCATTACACACCAGATAGCCTAGAACAGCTGAAGTTTTCTTAACAAAGGAGAGTATTCATCTCTGTTTCCTTTGTAGAGATTTACCTTTAAATATAATAACTTTGAAATATGAGCAGGAATTATGCTTTTCTACCTGAAAAAGATAAAAAAAGAAATAATCCTTTAAATTTGAGTTTTACTGAGAAATGCTTGCACCCGCATAGGGGCAAAGATGTAGGGAGTTACATCTTCAATATTTTTATTAATGACTTGGATGAGGGAGTGCAGGGAATGTTGTCAAATTTGCAAATGATACCAAATTGGGCGGAATAGCAAATACCCTAGAAGATAGAAACAACATTCAAAATGACCTTGATAAGATGGAGCACAGGGCAGAATGCAGCAGAATGAAATTCAACAGGGATAAATCCTGCACCTTGGAAAAAGAAACCAATTGCACAAGACGGGGGATATCTGACTCAACAAAACTGTGAGCAAAAAAAGGATCTTGGAATTGTTGCAGATCACAAGCTAAATATGAGCCAACAATGTGATGTGGCTACAGAAAAGGCAAATGGTATTTTAGGCTGCATTAATAGAAGTATAGTTTCCAAATCCCACAAGGTGCTAGTCCCCCACTCTATTCAGCATTGGTTAGGCCTCACCTTGAGTATTGTGCCCAATTCTGGACACCACACTTCAAGAAGGATGATAACAAATTGGAACAAGTTCAGAGGAGAGCGACAAGGATGATCAGGGTGCTGGAAACCAAGCCCTATGAGGAAAGACTGAAAGAATTGTTTAGCCTTGAGAAAAGAAGACTGAGGGGTGATATGATAGCACTTTTCAAATATTTGAAAGCCTATTATAAATAGGAGGTGTAAGATCTGTTCTTGATCATCCCAGAGTATAGGACACGCAACAATGGGTGCAAGTTACAGAAAGCCAGATTTCGGCTGAATATCAGGGCTAACTGTTAGAGCAGTAAGACAGTGGAACCAGTTGCCTCGCGAGTTGGTGAATGTTCCAACACTGGAGGCATTCAAGAAAAGCTTTGATAATCACCTGGCATATACACTTTGATTGTATTCCTGCATTAAGCAGGGGGTTGGACTTGATGGCCTTGTAGGCCCTTTCCAACTTCACTTTTCTATGATTCTGGGGTAAATGAACTCTGTAGTCAGTCTCGCTTGCAACTGAATTTAAGATGAAAGCCATTGTCCTTTTCATCTCAGGTACAGTGTAACATTCTACCAATGGAGCACCCACAATCACTGGCTTGCAAGTGGACATGGTCGGGATCCCTCCCCTCCCCACTGTCAATTTTAGTGGGGTTTCCACATGCAAAAGAAAGTGCTGGGCACCTTCTTGGGCAAATTCTGGGAAAACTCCAGTGTGTACACAATGAAATGTTGTTTGCATAGTGCAAGGTGATAGCATATGAGCTAAAATCACTTACACATAAGTATACTAAAAGGATAAGTGTCTACCTAAACAGGAAGGGTTTTATTGCAATCCTAAAGGATGTTGGCACCTGACAGCGAAAGTAGGGGCTGTTGTGTCATATCTTCCATGGCAAGTCTTGCTCTTGACCCCAGTTCCTATTTGACTCAAGTTCAGCTATGGCATGGGCTTGCATGAGGACATAGTGCAAGGTGAAAGCATACGAGCTAAAATCACTTACACATAAGTATGCTAAAAGGATAAATGTCTACCTAAACAGGAAGGGTTTTATTGTAATCCTAAAGGACGTTGGCACCTGACAGCGAAAGTAGGGGTGTCGTAGCTTTCATGGCAAGTCTTGCTTTTGACCCCTGTTCCTATTTGACTCCAGTTCAGCTATGGCATGGGCTTGCATGAGGGACAGATAGAAGGGCAGGAGCCTGCTGCAGACTTTGTCATCAATCTGATTTCCTTATTTTTAATCCTTTTGTACAAGGAGACAAGCAAGTCATGAAGCAATGTTAACTTAGTTTTGCTTCTAGGATTTCTTGGCTTAATAGGGGTTTTACTGAGAAGTGGACTAGTAATTATTGACAATGCATAGCACTTGAGAAGCACATCAGCTGAATAAGCCAGTAGTGAGCTGGTTGATGTATAGCACTTGAGAAGCACATCAGCTGTTCACCTGAATAAGCCAGTAGTGAGCTGGTTGATGGACAAGAACTGCCTTCCTGTACCTGGCCACATCTACAAAATATTTGAAGTAAAAAAAAAATTTTCTGGGAGTTGACAGGGACTTGATACTTAATCACAAGCTTATTCTGAGTGTATATTTTCTTTTAGTCGGCAAAGGTAATTTTATATAAAGGTATCAGTGTGGCATCTGTATTTTTGCTTAAACTGTCCACAACTTAAACCAGGATAATAGCAGAGTAGGGAAATGGTTTGTGAAACAGCTGTCTAATCTTTTATTGTTTTACTTTTCAAAAATCTTCTATTTCAGACCTCAAAATTAACAAAACCTGCCCCTCATATCAAAATTCGTTGGAGGACCTTGAAGGAACATCTCATGCTATTTAAGTTTGGAGGGGATGTCATAGAGTTTCATTTCCCCTTACTCGGCTGTCCCGTTGTGCTTTCCAGGATCTCAAATAAATACATTCTTTCAAAGTGACACTGTATGTTTTTCCTGCTTATTTATGTTCCATACATTCTGTTTTGTTTTTTTTATTTTGCAATAAAGCATAGTAGCCCTAAATGGGACAAGCCTTTGAAAAGACATTTGGACAGTGTTGTTTCTATGCATTGTGTGGAACAGGCTGGCAGAATTTCTCATGCAGACAACTTTGATGGCCTAAGCTGCTGCAAAGTCTCATCCCATGTAGAGGAAATGAAATTGATCTGTGTTAAGCCTAAAAAGTAAACTCTGGTGGTGGTGCAGTACTGCAGTAGGGCTAGGAATAGAGGTAGGGGTTTCATGTTGTCATGCAAATAGTCCTCCATGACCAAGGTAGAGGAAAGGATATTAAAGTGTCTATGCAGGTATACTTCTGCTGGATCCTGGATTCTGTGCTTAATAGATCAGTACAGCACAGTTTGTTTGCTAAATGTGAAATATTTTCTGTGTCTCCTTGCTTCTTACTTTTTATATGTAAATGATGATCTGTTAATAAAATTGTATTCATGACTATGTTTCCAACTTTTTTGAGTAACAACTCCTTTTATAAGAGCCAAGTAACCTGCGACACCCCATGACTGCCATGTTTGCATAAAAAGACATTTTCAATGGGGTAAAGTCAGCTCTTTTCAAAAGGTAGAGGCGTCTTACTCTCCCAAAGGACCTGTACACATGCAAAGTAACTTTAATATCCTGTTCTGAAAAGTCAAGAAAGACATTATTCAATTCTTCAAAAAAAAAACACAAAACCCCTCCAGTTTATGCATGTGGGATATTGTAATTCTCTATCCAAGATTCAGAAAGCCAGGAAATGACCCAATATTGCTACACAGTATTGTTGCCAACAGCAAAAAGGATGCCAAGCTTTACAGAGCAAAGGGCAGTCTGAATATTGACAACGCCAGTGGAAGCAATCAAGATGATCTATGCAGTGGTCCCCAGCCTTGAGTAAGCCAAGAGTTCTTGGACTGGAGTTCCCAGAAACCCTGCCCAACATAGCTGGTGGTGAAGGCTTCTGGGAATTGCAGTCCAAGAAAACCTAGATTACTCAAGGTTGGGAACCACTGGTCTGTCTATAGGATACCCTCTTCGGATACCCTCTTCTGCTCACTGGTTTACTCTTGTTGAAAATCTTCATTCACACTTGTTGAAAAAAAGCTCAGACAGTTGCTTTGTGTTTGAGTGAGAAGTGGTTTACTGATGGAAAAAAAAGGAGTCAGCTTCTGGGATTTTTCTGTATGGTGTCTCTTTGTGGATTGTGAGCATAAGAGGATATACTATATGGCCATCTGAATGCTGACATTGGTGTCAACATTCAGGCTGCCCTTTGCTAGAAAGCTTGCCATCCTTTTTCCTGCTGGCAACATGGGCACAACATTGTGCAGCAATATTGGGCCATTTCCTGGCTTTTTGAATCGTGGATGCAGAAGCACATTCATTCCACATTCATATACAGTGGTGCCTCGCTTAACGGCAATAATCCGCTCTAGGAAAAATCACTGTTAAGCGAAAACATCGTAAAGCGAAAATAAAAAGCCCATTGAAATGCATTGAAACCCTTTCAATGCGTTCCAATGGGCTTAAAACTCACCGTCCAGCAAAGATCCTCCATACGGCGGCCATTTTCGCTACCTGTATAGCGAGGAATCCGTCCCTAAACACAGCAGGGAGCCATTTTATTTACCTGGTGGCCATTTTGAAACCGCCAATCAGCTGTTTAAAAAACATTGTTTTGCGAAGAATCGGTTCCCGAATCAGGGAACCGATCATCGCAAAGCGAAATTCCCCCATTGCCTTGATTCCCAATTGCGATCGCAAAAAGATTGTTGTAAAATGGATTCGTTGTAATGCGGGGCAATCGTAAATCAAGGGACCACTGTACTAGAGGTTTTTTAAAGGATTGAATATTGCACTTTGACAGCTCTCCTAAAGTAACTATAAGTCACTTCTGACTTGACAGCACATAGCAGGAGTGGTAAGTATATTAGTGATATTGCATACTAATAAAATTTGATACTTTTGGAACAATTTCTCACACTATCAATTAGTTTAAGTTTAATGTTATATCTGATATTAGATTGTCCAGTTCGTTTGCTACATGGCAATTTTGCTGATGTTCAGATATTCACATATTGGCTCCTGAAGTATTTCTCAAGTGACAAAACTGAACACTCATAATTTTAGAGTCAACCTTCTTCACAATCCTTTTAAGATGGATAGTATTAGAATTGGCATATATATTTTTAAAAGAGAAAAAAGTATCTCTACTTCCAGTATCACTAGTACAGTCAATAACATACCCAATGGTTTCCAACCTCGTGTCTCTGGATGTTCTTTAGCTACAACTCCCAGCTATCTGGCCATCACAGTGAGTGGTGAAGATTTCTGGGAGTTTTAGTCCAAGAACATTTGAGGACCCAAGATCAGAATAGGAATGATTTAGGACAGTGGTGGAGAACCTTTGGGCTCGTGTGCCCAAACTGAAAAAACACAACAACAAAACAGCATGGCAGTGGCAGAACCAGAAGTGGCAAGCGGAAGGGGGAATCCCAGGCACGGAGGTGCCTCGAGACCTCACTCTGGATCCGCCACTAGTGCCAGCTGCTTCGGATCCGCCTGCTGAAGCGCCAGCACTATGCCGGCAGCTGCCTTCTCAGGTTTGGCTGTGCAAGGGGAGGGGAGTAGCGATCAGGCGGTTTATGGCTTGCATGCCGGCGGAAAGGGCTCCGCGTGCCAGCTGTGGCATGCGTGCCATAGCTTCGCCATCTCTGGTTTAGGGCATGCTGGCAATTTCTTCGCAGCCTTATTCTAGCTGGAATGGGGTAGAGTTTTCAAAACAAATTAATTTGATTTTTGTCCCAAGAGCCAACATACTTCCAAGCTCTCAACAGTTTATTGAAAAAACAAGCTGCTCTGGCACTTAAGGAGCCATAGATGGGCTCTACCTGCCTGCACTGTATTGGTTGGATTGTACATGGGCTCCCTAAACACAAAAGAGAATGAAACAGAACAGTATTCCTGAGCTGTGTTCAAGTACTTCCTGCTGGAGCATCTCCAGCCTGTGCAGAGCTACTTCCACTCATGAGACAAGGTGGGCAGATGCAGGGCATGGATTCCAATACACAGAGATCTCCTTTGAAAGTGCAGCCAACACAACCCTTGCTGGCATTTTGTACCAGGGTAACTCTAGCTTTTGCATGCCATTTCAAACTGAGACAAGGCCTCCAGTAGTTCAGGAGAGCATTAGGTAAAGATGGGTCTTTCCGATATTATTTTCAATCTGCAGGTTAATCTAAGATTAAACTTCATAGCAAGTATGAGGTTGAATTCTACTGGGTTCTGATGTGCTCCTAAGAACAGGTGGAAGCTGCATTCTCATTAGTAAGGTACTGGTTGTGCAGTAGGTATCAGATTGGGCACACATTCAACAGGAGAATCACCCATTAGTAGCTGCATCTTCTGCAATTCCTCTGCTGCATGCATAACATCCTAAAAGGGATGTATCTTTAATAACCTTTTGCAATGCAATGACGACCTAGAGCAGTGGTCCCCAACCTTGGGCCTCCAGATGTTCTTGGAGTACCACTCCCAGAAGCCTTCACCACCATCTCTGCTGGCCAGGATTTCTGGGAGTTGAAGTCCAAGAACATCTGGAGCCCCAAGGTTGAGGACCACTGACCTAGAGGAACAAGCAGGAGTTTAAAAGATAACTGTTTTGAAAAGCCTCAAGGCCTCTTCTAGAAGTAACCAATTCCCGTTTGTCTTTAGAGATGATCCTGAAATTACTACTTTCTGAGTGTCACTGAATTAAGCTATCAATATAGAAAAGATGTTTTCTAAATGGAGGGGTTTTTTTTAAATGAAGGACTTCTTAATTTCAGAAGTAAAGTAAAATCTTCAGTCACAATGTCCGGTTACTGGTCTATTTTAAAGGCAATCAATATTGCACATATTATTTAAGAAAAATAGCCTTGCACTTGAGATAACTGATGACCATGACTGTTTGGGATTTCTTTATTTGCTTTTATACTGGAAGCAGGCTTTCGGGTCACACTTAATGCTTTTTTGGGGCATTATTATAAAACGAAGAGCTGGAGAAAGCTTGTTAGACACCAGGAAACCAGGTCGGTGACTCTATAAGAGCTGAGCAGGCCCGTGAATAATGAACATATTAAAGGTCATTTAGTCATAAAGCCTGCAGCAAGTTGGAGACAAATTGGAGATGACCCAAAAACCTTCCTTACAGTTGGTCTAGGTAAGATGATTGTCATGTGTCATCACATCCTTTCTGATGTGTGACTTACAATAACAACAGACCAAGCTGAGGTTAGTAAAGTTACTGTTTTAGACTGACACTCCCACCATGCCCTAGACAGCATAGCTGCAAGTCACAACAGACTCCTCTTCAGATCTATGAGAAGGTCAAGCATCTAAGTTTTGTAGACTCAAATCTGGATGCATTCAAGAGAAAATTGGACAACCACCTGTAAGACCTGCTTTGATTTGGATTCCTGCATCGATCAGAGAGTTGGACTCAATGGTCTTATAGGCTCCCTCCAACTCAGTTATTCTGATTCTAAAACTCCTTTCTTTTTTGCTGATATCATGATGCAGAATATTTTTCACCTTTCCAAATGAAGGAAAAAGTAAAATCAGAATGTTGTTGTCTACAATATCATGCACAATTAGCAAAATGAAAGTCTGTGGTACAAACCTACTGACACCAGATTGCCATGCAATACAGCAGTAGCTGAGAAAAACCGAGGTATAATACTCCATGCGTTAAGCAACTCTCAACTAAGACACAACCACTCTGCAGCAGTAGAATCTTTCCCCCAGTCATGTGAAGAGCTGCAGTTTCAACCATGGAGCAAAACTGTTTGGCTTGGAGTTGTAGCCACCTATGCCATACATTTCGCAAGTGAAAAACTGATGGCAAGTGCCCCCAAGCCTCAGAAGGCCATACAACCCCATATCCCAAGTCATAGACAATTTCACACATTCATAACTAACTATGGTCTTTCTCAGTCATTGAATAGGCTTTTGAGTGGCAGGGTCAAAAGTTCAAATCGATTAGAATATTGGCAATTTATAAGAGAAAGCCAGATAAACTAGTAAGTTACGCTGCTTTAAAATCAGCATTTTAAAGGTACCAATTAGAGCCATGAATGGCTCAATTGCCACAAAATTATGAAAAAGTGGGAGGTACTTAGTATTTTCTTTACACACATGCTTATTTCTTCTTATCAGTATATTTAATCTGTTTTAAATCAGCTGGAATTTCAGGTTACTTAGTTCTGTATGGTGTAAAAATAGTATTTCCTTTTTTAAAATAATAACTTTTAGACCCTTTGCCAAAATGTCCCCAATAGAACAAGAAAAGAATTTATGCTGAATCCATGCCAGATCTGGTGCTGATCCAACATCCAGTTTCATAGAGTACTTAATTTTTTTTTGTTTGGGGCATCCCTGATTTTTGAGTTGAGTTACAG